CCTCTTCCGAGAATTATTTGACAGCTCTCACAGCTCTGGCAGCAAGCATGGAAACCGTTCTCAGATGGGAAGACTGTCTCAGGGGATCCCTTTGGTTGGTGGACATGATTCAGAGACGGATCTTGCTCTTGGGGTCCCTTCAGTGTTCCACCCAGTAAATTTCTATGAGGGAAGGAGTGACTAGAACATGATCATAGCCTCAGTTGAGTGGCACTGGACTTCTCAATAGCCCCCCCCGGAAGAAGCTCTTGTTTTGACTACTCACCTACTGTGTAGCCTTGAGCAGACAAGGTCTCCCTGAGCCCAGTTGCCCTAGGACTGGGATGCCAAAATGTGGGGGAGGGTTGGATAGCAACCATGGGAAAGTTGCTCCCAGTGTCCTGACTAGTGCTTCTGCCTTCCAAAGCACGTGGACATCCAGAACTTCTCCTCCAGCTGGAGTGATGGGATGGCCTTCTGTGCCCTGGTGCACAATTTCTTCCCTGAGGCTTTTGACTATGGGCAGCTTAGCCCACAAAACCGGCGCCAGAACTTTGAAATGGCCTTCTCATCTGCTGAGTAAGTGTGGGCCCCATTCTACCGGTGTCAGCTGGGCTCAGCAGCCTGAGACCCCATGGAAGTGGCCAGTTGTACAGTGGGTCTGCAGACGAGACCCCCTTCCCCAGAGAGTTTCCATCCTCCTCCACTCACCTGTTGCTGAGTGTGCCAGGTGCCCACCGGAAGGAAGGAGCGTCAGGCCCGCCTACCAGACCAGGCTAAAACCCATCAGGTGGCCCTGTCCATAACCTCTCCCTCCTCCGTCTGCCCTCCTTCCTCCTCTCTCCATTTCTGTCCTGCTGTCCTCCCACTATTACCAGAGCTTCCTGCTCCCACGGGATCCCGGCTGGAGATTCCAAAAGGAGGCTCCTGGTCCAGGCACCGTGCCTGAGTGACCTATATAGGCCTATATAGGACATCGAAAGCCCTCCACTTTGGAATCGTCGCCCCTTCTGCACACTGCACCCAAGCACCCTCCTCCATCTCCTTATCCTTCCCTTTCCTTTCTGGTTCCCTCCAGGATTTTTTCTCCTCCTCTCCCTCCCCCACTCCTCTCACGCCTCCCTCACCTCCCTCTCCCCGGGGCACAGCCCTCCTCTCCAACTTCGGCACCAATGCCGTTGCCCCCTCCCTGCGTTCCCGCTTGCCCCAAGAGTTCTCTGCACCTGTGACTGGTTTGGCCCCCACCCTTGTCTGCACCGCGCACCATTAGTGGTAGTGAGCGGCACGTCCACCATTGGGAGGGGGCATGCGGGAGGCTGGCAGACTGCAGCACTGAGAACATAACTGAACTCATGTCTCTGTATGTGTATGTGTCTCTGTCTTCCCTTCTCTCTTGGCCTCTCTTCCCTCCTTCCTCCACCGGGTCCTGCCCCCTGCCCCTTCCTGGCCCCCTACCCTCCCCAGGACCCATGCGGACTGCCCGCAGCTCCTGGATACAGAGGACATGGTGCGGCTTCGAGAGCCTGACTGGAAGTGCGTGTACACGTACATCCAGGAGTTCTACCGCTGTCTGGTCCAGAAGGGGCTGGTAAAAACCAAAAAGTCCTAACCCCTGCTTGGGGCCCCACGGTGAGAAATGTCGCCTCTCCCACCTGTCTCATTTCACCGGAATCTGCTCATCAGTGCACTGAGAGGGATAAGGGGAAAGTATGAAAAGCAGGGGGAGACAGGCAAGACCCTCAGTGATGCTAGGGTATGGTGACAGGGAGGAAGACTGACAGGGAGCACAGGAGACCCCAGGCTAGCAAGCTATAAAAAGGAGAAAACTATACTCCAGTCTGAACAGTTCAGGCTGAGGGAGGAAAAAGAGCGGCAGGCACAGGAACAGACCCAGCAGGGCCATGGAAAGAGAGATGGAGAATACAGCAGAGCCTGGAAGGAAAGAACCTGATGTGAGGTTGAAGGAAGGGACCATAGTTCAAGTTTGAACATCCTTGTGAGGACTCAGGAACCAAAGGTTATCCAAACGGGAGAGCTGTGCTCAGACTAGGATTCCAGAACAATCCTTGGGAGAAACTTGAGAAGTTCAAGATGGAGCAGCATCAGAAGTAGAGGATCAGAAGGGACAGGATGGTGCTGCCTGCAGCCAGAGCATGCAGGAGCCTAAAGCTGAAGGATCACAGTTTAAGGTCAGCCTGATTAACATTGCATGACCCTGTCTTACAAACTAGAAAGACAGGCTCCCTGATCTGGTTTGAAGAAAGAGAGGGTCAAGACGCCACTCAAACTTGGAATGTGCCATATAGGGAGCTGGTGGTGTCTTTCTCCTAAGTGGGGAGCTTGGGAACAGGACCAGTTCAACAGGAAGATGTTTCTGGCTGGATTCCCCTAAGCCATATGGCTTTTCTCTCTGCTCATATCACCTCAGGGCCACAGTAAAGAATCTGAACTGGTTTTCCTGTTACAGACAAGGAGCTAAGAGAGGAGGATCAGGTCACAGAGTGAGGCCAGGGTCTCCATTTAGTGGTTTTTTTCTAGACCCACTGCTGTATTCCCACCGATTTTGTAGATAGAGGTAGGTGGGAGATGGGTGGGGGTTAGAATCACAGAAGTGGGCAGTGTCTTATCCAGCACCAGTGAGCACAGGTAGAACCACACTGAAGTAAAGGCAGAGGTCCAAAGGGAGCAAAGGAATTGCTGGAAGGAATGTGACGCAGGGATGGAGTCAGCAAGGATGCACAGGGTGCTCTCCTGGGTCAGGGCCCCTGGGGGAAGGAACACATGTGCACACACTCAGAGGTTCAGGTGTGAAAAACAGGCTTGGTACTGTCTCTAGGTCATATATGGACTTAGCTCCTGCTCAACAGGCCACTCAAAAGAGAAAGGCTTTGCTTAGTGTAGCTCTGACCAGTAGGAAAGTGTGACTCAGCTACGTGCTGTTGCTTTAGTTGCCTGGTGTTTGGCTTGTCACTTGGGTAGCCTGAACCATGTACCCCAGTATAAACAATGGCTTTATAAGGTCTCCAGGGAAGGCACTACGGTCAGGAGGGAGCTCCAGACTTGGGAGAGGGAGGCTGGGATCCCTGCAAAGATAGCTACAGTTGGAAGATGCTCCAGAAAGAGTCTGCCTCTTCACCATGGTACAGCTGGATAAACAACCCCAAATGTGGGATGATGATGACCCGAAGGGCACATAGCCCATCAACAGTAGTGCCAGGTACCCGTCACTTATTCTGAGTACTTCCAAGGTCTCAAATGGGTTCGGGAATGTCTCATGGGGGTGGGGTGGGAGTGTAGTAGGATCACAGAAGAGTCTTCTGCAGCACCCATGACTGATCCAGTTAGAACTGAGACTGAGAAAGTTTTCTGCTTCTCCGACATCTTTGTAATAGACCCGGTGAGGAGCTAGGCTGTGATTCCAACTACGCCAGAGGCTGAGATAGGCGGTTCACAAATTCAAGGCTTGCCTGAACTACAGAATGGTTTCAAGATTAGCCCCACCAATTTACTGAGACCCTAATCTCAAAATGTAGAAAGCTAGGATGGTAACTCAGTGGGAGAGAGCTTGCATCTCAAGCTTGCATCTCAAGCTTTAATCTCCAATACCACAAAATGCAGAAATAGTTTTCGGTGAGCTGGGAGTAGACCCCAGCCCTACCACAGTCCTAGGTATGACCGTGCAGGTGCCAGAAGGGACGTGGTCTTGGGTTATCTATCTCATGTCCTGGGAACAGCAGCAATCTTTGCTTTTTGTCTTCCCCGCTGATGAAAGCTTTGAGCACCAGTGACGAGGAGCCAGTGTAAACAGGAGGCAAAACCAGATATCTTAGTTTGGGACAAGAGAGAAACAGGCTGTGCTTGTGTGCCGTCTGAAAGCTGTAAGGAGGAAAGGCTCCCACCGCAGGGAAGGGGAGCTCCAGGCAGTTGCCAACACCCAGGGCTGAGGGGCTATGGTTCCACCTGGCTTTAAATATTCCTGAATCAAGTGTAGCACTCTGAAGGAGAATCAGAAGGGCGACCAAGAGGTCAGTGTAGGGTGCAGCCGACCCAGCTGATAGGACTAGGGTCCTCCTCTGCCTCTCTAGCTCCACCCAACGCAGATGATAGGGGTTAAAGACCCACTCCTGGAATACTCCTCAGCCTCTCCTAGGAGAAAGTGGGTCACTGGGGAATCCTGACGGTAGAATAACACTAGCCAGAGGGGAAGGCCCCCAGGGGTATAATGGCCTAGCTGAGACTACCAACAGGAATACACCAGTGCATGAGCAGGAGATGGGCCCTCCAGAGAGCCAGAACCTGCCTGCCTAGGGTGGGGCATGGCCCACTCCCCAATCCCTCAAATTCTACCTCCTTAGCCTATGGGCAGGATGGCCCCTGGGTTTGGTTGTGGGTTTCCCTTCCTGGAAAGCCTTTCCGATCGATGGACAGTCTGAAGTTTATGAAAAGACAAGCAGGATTCGACAAAGACCTTGTGGTAGAGGGGACACAGCAAGAAGCAGGCTGGCACTGACAACTCCTGTGCCCCCCTCCCCTGCAGGATGCTGGTGGACTGTGTACCCTTGGTGGAGGTGGAGGACATGATGATCATGGGCAAAAAGCCCGACCCCAAGTGCGTCTTCACCTATGTGCAGTCGCTGTACAACCACCTGCGGCGCCATGAGCTGCGCCTGCGCGGCAAGAATGTCTAGCCACTCTGCTCACACCGCCTGCGCTGCAGGCTGCTGTCCCCACCCCACCCCCAGCACGGGCCTCTCCCAATGCGCCTGCCCACTGCTACCCCGTCTGTCGGAACACCCCACCCTTGTACACACGCAGCGTTTTGATAAATTATTGGTTTTCAACGATCCTGACTTCTCTCTGCTGTCTTGGGGGGGGAGGGGGATGGCATCAGATGTGAATTATCCCCCAGTGTAACCTCACTCCCACAGCCAGGCAGTGGGAGGAGTCACCCGAGGATGTTCAGGAACTCCTATTTGATCTCCCACACCATCTACTCTCAGCAAGCAAGAAGAGACTCAGCATGGAGGAAGAGGATTTAGTAGAGCTGGGGAGGGGGGAAGGGAGGATTAAGAGGAATCCCCCCCCATACACCCCATTTCCATTGCTTTGGAGACTAGCGTCGGCCCTCAGCAAGAGAGATGCTCCCGGGATACTGAGCGCTTCATTCTGTCTCCGGGGCGCTGGCAGGGGGTCCCAGCTCCACCGTGGCTCGGGGCTACAGGTCGGCTCGCTCTGAAGCATCTTCGGGGGGCTTAGCGGGCGCCCACAGGTACTCGGGGGGCACCTGCGCTTCTGGCGCCGACTTGCGGTAGAAGCCGAGCTCCTGTACCAGCGCGTTGATCTCGTCCCGGGTCATTTGGCTGAGTGGGATTCGCTAAGATGGAGAAAGGGCGGGATCAGCACTTAGCCACTGTTCTGGAGCCCCTCCCGCCAATGCCTCACCTCTAGTTCCTGGTAATTTCGGCTTAAGAGCACGAGTTCGGGGTCTGCCCCAGGGAGGTGCTTCATCACCAGGTTGTGGCTGCAGGAGATGTTAAGGATGTGGGAGGGGGAGCAGAGGCAGAGAGTGGTGATCCCTGGGATCCTTTAGCTGGTCACTTACTTTAAGCCTAGGTGGGGTCCAATCCTCATTCGCTGTGAGAATAGGGTTCAAAGAAGTAAAGGGCCCTTCTCTCCACTAGTAAGCTCTTTTCCCTACTTAATTTTTAACTTCCTCATAATCTTCCGTTCAGTTAATATCAGCCTCTTTGACAGACAAACATCATTTTCAACCTCTGGAAAAATGGAGGCTTCTCCCTGGTGCCTTCCCCATCCACCTTCCCCCAGAACAGGAAAAGGATACTACAGTTGAATGTCCTGGGTGACAAAGGCCTTCACCTGGGGAGGAACCACAGCATTAGAGAACAGGGCCTCAGACCCTCTAGACATGGACAATGAGGCACAGTGAGGTCATATACCAAGTCAGGTCCAGTCTCCTGCCTCACAGAACAGGGATTCCCACTTGGCCCCCAGCCAGTGATCAATGGTCCTTATTCCTTAGGGGAGCCTTTCCTTCAAACTCACCTCCTTTAGGCGATTCAACTGTCATCCTCCACAGGTCTGGGGAGAGAGAAATGGGACAACAAATCAGGAGTCCTTCACATGCCAGCTTGGCTATACAGCCAAGACTATGCCATCCTTAACACTGAATTGGGTCAGGCTGTGAGCTGAAAGAACATCATCAAGATGTGGACGGAAGTAAAGGTCCTGTGGGCAAGGAGACGTCTGTACAGGTTGAAAAGCTCGGGGCCTAGAGCCACAGGTAAAGGATGAGGGAGAAGAGGCAGCCATGGGTCCCTGCCTGCACATTACTGATAGCCCAAGAATGCCCAAGAGACACGTGTTACAGCATTCTCCCCGCTGTCAGTAGAATTCTAACCATGGCCTTTGGCCCTTAAAACCTCGTGGGAGAATCAGACTAGAAGGAAACAGTTCGGAACTACCCTAAGGGCCCTGTTAGAGGCACTTGCCATCTGGTCCCCACCCCACCCCATGCAGAGCTAGCCCTGCCAGCCACCTGTGGTCCAGTTTCATAGACCATCTGGCTGCTCCTCCCAAACTTGGGAGGATGGATGGGCTATCTGTACTCCCTGAAGGCAGGCCATCTCCCAACAGGAAGTCCAGACCTCCCTATTTCATGCCTCCCTTACATTCCCTTTTGTTAAAAAATAAAAAATAAAAATAAATAAATAAATAAATAAATAACCAACTAAGGCCCACGAGGAGTCTGCAAGCATATGAACCACTTAGGAAGACTCTAGGGAAATTCATTGGCGGGCAGGATGATGGGGGTATGGGCCAGGGCGGCTGTGGAGTGTTGGTATCTCATTTCCCTACCTTCTCCTTCAGCTCCAGCATAGTACAGTGAGGGAAGGAGCTTAGAAGGTCTTTTCTCCCTACCAGAAGAAGAGAGATTCTGGAATCCCAGGCACTAAGTCGGGGTGGAGGGGAGGGATAACGGGAAAAAGTGGGGTTATCCATAGAGAGGAAAGAGGTGGAGTTTTAAGGGCCAGTTTTAGAAAAATTATAGCCTGGAAAAGAGAGGACTGAGTGTCCAGAGACCCACGGTAGGGCCAAGCCTGGAGCAAAGCAAAGGGTTCAGAGTGCCAGGCCGCAAGGACGAGGCTTCTTACTCCCACAGTGGATGCTGGGCATCCTGCGGCTGGGAAATAAAAGGGATGATTCCCGGGCCGTGCAGGAGGAAAAGGGGAAGACTCGAGAATTCCGGCATTCCTGAGCCCAGAGTGGACTGTATTCCAGGATGAGGGGCAGCAGGGTTGTGGAGCTGTCGTACTAAGGTTGGAAAAAGGCGCACTCACCTCCACCCGCCCCCTGGCCAGACCTCGAAGACGGTTCCAATCCGGTCGGTAGGAGGTGGCGGAGGTGGCTGGAGCCACAAGGGCTGCAAGAAGCAGCAGCAGCGGCGGCGGCAACAGTAGGATGCTCATCTGTGCCTGGCAGGAGACGTTCCGCAGGCTGCACCCAAAGTCGGCCGCTGCGCCACGTCTGGCTTACAAGCTGGCTCCGCCCAAGCCAGAGGCTCCGCCCAACCATAAACCACGCCTCCAGAGCTGGAAATAGTCCCACTCCCATCCCACCCAGATCCAGTGCGTGCCTCTCAGTAGACCCCAGCCCTGTCCCAGCTATTCTCTGGTCCTCCATACTTCATGTTCTCAGGCCTTACAATTTCCATATTGCATTTGCCCGCTAAGTGTGAACGCTCCCACAGGATGCCAAGAGACAGCGCTACTTCGCGTCACTAGAGGGCGCAGGCGGTTCGCAGATGGACACCAGGATTTCTGGGTCAGAGCGTTAAGATAAGGAAGCAGGAACCTAGGCGATCTCCTAAGCTTTTGATGTCTTTGAACGAAATTCCGATCAAAGCTTTAATTCCCCAAAGCACACGTTGTAGGAGGACCATTACCTATGCTCGCTCAAGAAAGCTCGGCGGGTAAAAGCGCTTGTCACTCCAGTCTGACAACTGAGTTTGATCCCCCAAACCTGCAAAAGAAACGTGAAAGAAAAACACCAGTTCCCACAAGTTGTGCTCTGTCTTCCACATGCATCTCCACTCGTGCACCATGGCATGTGCTTGCCTGTACAGGCATACACACACATAATAATAATCCTTTTTACCTAGAAGATGCTGAAAGGGTTAATATACATAATGCATCTCATTTGAACAGTATCTAGTCAGAGATGGTACACACCAATCTCCTACTGTCCTTGAACTCAAAGCAATACTCCTGCCTCAACCTCCTGAGGGCTGGGTTTATTAAGACAGACTCTGGCTGTGTGGCCTTCCACTATTAGCTCTTCTTTTTCCTCATCAAAACTCCCCCCCTCCCCACCAATAAACTCCGTTTTGCAGATTAGGAACTGTTTCAGAAATGTAAAATAGACCAAGTTGTAGATCTGGGTTTGAGCCCCAAACACCTCTGTGGATCATCTCCCCAGACCAAAAAGGAAGCAGGTAACACTTCATGTCCTCACGCCTTCAGCAGACACAGCAAGTACAATCAGTTTTTGTCACCGTGGATTCAACCAGTCTCAAGTTGGAAATATTAGGAAGTAAAAACTGCCTCTGTACTGAACACATACAGATTCTTTTCTTGTTATTCCAACCAATAAAGAATGACAGCTATTTATAGTATCTGCCTTGTATTAGGTGTTATAAATTATCTAGAAATGATAAAACGTATAAAAGAGGGCCACACAGGCTTTAGGAAACTATTAAGCCATTTTAGCTATGGGTTTGAGCATCCTCATATTTCAAGTCTTGGTATGGAAGGGTGCCCTGGAACCAATCCCTGGCAGACAGCAAGAACGCGCTGTGCCCTTTCCCACAGAATCCAGAGAACCTTGTCAACACTGAGCCAACGCTGCTTGTGATCCAAGGTATTTTTACCTTTCTGGGCTCATTCCACCACTTTAAAAATGCATATTAAAATGGGACAGGGGATTGGCAGGATGGTTCAGTGATTATAGGCACTTGCTGCTAAGCCTAGTGCCCTAAGTTCACACCCCAGGACCCATACAACAAAAGGAAAGAAGAGAAGCCCACAAATTGCCCTCTGACCTTCACATTTATAATGTCAAGCACACACACACACACACACACACACACACACACACGAATAAATAAACAAATAAGTATAAAAATAGGGCTTTAGAGTTGGAGAGATAGCTTAACATGTAGATCAATTGTTGCATAAGCATGAAGACCTGGGTTTAGATCCCTACACCAGTGTGAAAGCTGGCTGTGATAATACAAGCCTGTAATCCTGGCACTTAAGAGACAGGGCACAAGGATCAGAGTTCAAAGCCATCCTTAGAGGGGCTGGAGAGATGGCTCAGCAGTTAAGAGGACAGGTTGCTCTTCCAGAGAAGCCATGTTTGATTCTCAGCACCCACATGGAAGCTAACAACTGTCTGTAATTCTCAGTCCAGGGAATCTGATGCCTTCTCCTGGCTTCTACAAGCACGGGGGAATGCATGTGATGTACAGACATGCTTGCAGGCAAAATATCCATATACATAAAATACAAATAAAAAAATTTTAAAAGTAATCTTCTGTTTCATAGTGAGTTCAAGGCCAGCCTAAACCTATGAGCATCTGACTCAAAAATAACACACACACACACACACACACAAGCTAGAGAGGGTGCTCTGGCATTAAAAGCATGGGCTGGCTGTTTTTCTAGAGAACCAGGGTACAATTCCCAGAACCCACATGGTGATTCACAACCACCTTTCTGTAATTCCAGTTCTAGAGGATGCAGTATCTGATGCCCTCTTCTGACTTCTGTGAGCACTGCACACATGTGGTGCACAGACATACATACAGACAAAACATTGGTACACATAAAATAAACCTAAAAGAATACCACACACGTAATATATAGATACATATATTCATACATATGTGCAAAAATGCACACACACACACACACACACACACACACACGATTTTAGCTAGGTATGATGGTTCACACTTGTAATCTCAACCCTCAGGAGGCAAAGGCTAGACAAGCCTCAAGCTCAAGGCTCACTTTGGCTACAGAGAAAGACCCTTCTACATCTCCTTCACACTGGCTTGATTAAGAGTTTGAAACAAGGGCTGGAGAGATGGCTCAGTGGTTAAGAGCACTGACTGCACTTCCAGAGGTCCTGAGTTCAAATCCCAGCAACCACATGGTGGCTCACAACCATCTGTAATGAGATCTGATGCCCTCTTCTGGTGTGTCTGAAGACAGCTTCATATATAATAAATAAATAAATCTTAAAAAAAAAAAGAGTTTGAAACAAGCTTAGAACTGCAGAGATGGCTCAGTGGGAGAATTACGGGACCTGAGCTTGGCCCCCTAGAAAGCCTAGAAGTGCACCAGGCCATGTATAATCAACACCAGGAGACAGGAAGATACTGGGGGCTTGTTGGCCAGCCAGTCTAGCCAAATCAGTGACTCTAGCTGCAATGAAGTAGCATCTTTCAAAAAAATAAAGAGTGAAGGGCTGCCTTGGCAGCTTAGAAAGTGAAGGCACTTGCTGCAAAGCCTGATGACCTGAGTTCAATCCCTGGAACTCACAAGGTAGGAGAACCAACTTCTGAGAGTTGTCCTCTGACCTCCACATCCACACACAAACACTCTCATCCCCACAATAAATACAGACAATAATAAAAAAAAAATCTGCAAGCTGAGTGTGGTAGAACAAGCCTTTAACCTCATCACTCATCAAGCAGATGCCTGTGAGTTCCAGGCCAGCGAGAGACAGTGAGAAGTGAGGGAAAGGGGTATGGTTAACGAAGAGCTGTCGACACCATCATCAGTTTCTAAGGGAGGGAAGGGTGAGTTTTCTTTCTTTTCGCTTTCAAACTTGCCAGGACATAAAATACCCTTCTTTTTTTAAATCCCCCAAAGTCTCTTATACCCCATTAATTTTGTTTGATCCAATCATGTGCCCTGACATTTTGTCATTGGAATAACCAATCTTGACCCATTCCTAAAGCTGGGCACCAGGTCAGCCACATTGCTGTTCGCTGAGGACGTGGATGGTAATGGATGGATGGCCACTGTAGCAGCCAACCAATTTAATGAAACATGTATACGTGGATATGTTAGATAAGATCAAAGCAATCTAAAAGGAAAAAAGCCCAAAATAAAAATGGCTATCTCTTGGAGGTTGAAGTTATAGGTAAATTTTTCCTTCTTTGTATCCTTTTCTGTACTTTCTGTAAGTATATGTTAGCTAAACTCACATAGTAAAATTTGTTTACAAAACAGTGAAATATAACCCACTGGTTCCCTCCACCCCCAAACCCTATCTGAGATACTCTACCTTTCCCAATAAGGGCCCCTGGGGTAACTGACACCAGAGGCCCCACAGAGCCTGTGGTTTTTCTGCTGACACACCCAAACCCCAGTTCCCCATGAGCCCTTGTTGTTCACTGGACAGATGCCACAGAACCACTCTCGTTGCATTAACCTGGACACTGTGGCTGTTGGGCCACAGCTTGGTCTGCTGAGGGCTGACCACCAGCCAGTAGAACCAACAATGGAGACAATGGCTACAACAGTACCAGGAACATCCTGGCATCAGCAGCACAAGCCCTCTCGGGACAGAGCTCTGCTCATGACCCATACCCCTAAGGTGCCAGTGTGCAGTCTAGGTCCCATGGCTAGGTTGGGAGCGAAGTTTTAAGTGTCTGATGAGTTTAGACTCATCAGGGTCAGCTCTTAGTTTAAGCAAAGATTTAAGAAGGGAGACGGGGCCTTGCTTGTTCTTTGACTATTTGTGTTTATTGCCTTGCTCATCCCTTGACTATTTGCATCTATTGCATTGCTAGTTCCTCAACCTAGAACTGACCCTAATACTTGCTTGCATGTAACTAAAAATGGTATGAAAGCAAAAAGGAGGAGGGGGGTGGGATAAGGGGTTTCTAGGGAGAGGAAATGGGGAAAGGGATGGCATTTGAACTTTTTTTTTTGTTTTTTTGTTTTTTTGTTTTTTTGAGACAGAGTTTCTCTGTGTATCCCTGGCTGTCCTGGAACTCACTCTGTAGATCAGGCTGGCCTCGAACTCAGAAATCTGCCTGCCTCTGCCTCCCAAGTGCTGAGATTAAAGGCGTGCACCACCACTGCCTGGCTGGGGATGGCATTTGAAATGTAAATTAATAAACTATCCAATAAAAAAAAGAGAAGGGAGACAGAGGCAAGAGGATCACAAGTTCAAGACCAGATTGGCTACATAGTGAGGCTTTCTCAAATTATATGTCATCACGACCAATAACATAGCAACAACAGCAGTAACAAAAGTCCTATAGGTTTAGAATTAAACCTGGGTTGGAGACAGGATTCAGTCTTTGGCAGGAATTAAGGCTCAGTATATGACTAGGGTCAAGGCTCAGTTAACAACTAAGCTCATGACTTGGACTTTAACCAGATTCAGGACTCCATTTTATGACCAAAGTAAACAGAATTTGCATGACACCTGCTGAAAATTCATTATGAGA